TTTTCATGGAAATAGAAAAATAACAGAAGCTTTCCTAATTCTCTTTCATTGTTGAAACGGTAATAATGATACTAAAAAAAGATACTAAAATCTAATAAATTTTAAAATAAACCTGACAAATTAAATAAATATTCATTATAAGAACCCTAAATAAAATATTCACAAATGTTTAATCAAATATAATGACTTAATTTAAGTAAATTTTGGAAATGGTATTCTGTTACACATCTGCAATGAGATTATAATCTAAAGATAAAAATAAATGGGACCAGCACTGTGGCATAGAGGATAAAGCCACCACCTGCAATACTGACAACCCATATGGGTGCCGGTTCAAGTCCTGGCTGCTCCACTTCTAATCCAGCTCTTTGCTATGGCCTGGGAAAGCAGGAGAAGTTGGCCAAGTCCATGGGCCCTGCACCCGCATGAGAGACCTGGAAGAAGCTTCTGAATTCTGGCTTCCAATTGGCACAGCTCCAGTCATTGCAGCCAATTAGAGAATAAGCCAGCAGATGGAAGACCTCTTTCTCTCTGCCTCTCCTTCTCTCTCTGTGTAACTCCGACTTTCAAATAAATAAATAAATCTTTAAAAAATAAATGCACATAGTTAGTAAGCTTATTTTAGTTGTTAGCTTAGTTATTCCAAATGTCTTGTATACATTACAAATGCTAGAGTTATTATTTGAAGGAAAGGGAAATAGACACATGAAATTAGGAATAGATGAGAAGAATCTTAAAGACATCATGAATTTTAAAATATTATCAATCTATCTGTTTTCTTTTAGCTTTGTCTAAGAATGTCTTAAAATACTTGGTAACAATGAACACAATTTTTGCTAAGTGGTTTCTTTCCCTTTTTTTAAAGATTTATTTATTTATTTGAAAGTCAGAAATACACAGAGAGAGAAGGAGAGGAAGAGATAGAGAGAGACAGAGAGAGAGATCTTCCATCCGCTGGTTCACTCCCCAATTAGCCACAATAGCCAGAGCTGTGCTGATCCAAAGCCAGGATCCAGGAGCTTCCGTTGGGTCTCCCAAGTGGGTGCAGGGGCCCAAGGACTTGGGCCATCTTCTACTGTTTTTCCAGGCCATAGCCGAAAGCTAGATCAGAATTGGAGCAGCTGGGACCTGAACGGGTGCCCATATGGGATCCCGGCACTGCAGGTGGTGGCTTTAGCTGCTATGCCACAGCGCTGGCCCTGCAAAGTTATTTCTAAACATCACTTCGCACTAAAAGAAACAACTACTCTTCAGAGAAATGCTTAATTCTATGCCTGAATTGCAAACTATAAGTTGAACTTGGACAAACTTCTTGTCCCATATTGTACAGAAATATTCAAAACTGATGGGCATATGTGCAAACAGAAAGTGCTTCAACTGACCAAATTTAAGATTATTGGTGCATCAAAATGAATAATGAAAAATATGTTGGTAAGAGTTTATCAAGCAGTATGGATCCTCTGTCAGTTTTGAGTGTGGACAAGGGATAACTGTGACTAACTGAGGAATTTCATATTTTATAGACAAAATAAAAGAAAACAAAAAGTACGGATTTAAATCCAAAAGAATAATAATTAATTAGGCAGGAATTGTTAACGGATGAGAAAATCAGGTGGCAAAAAACAGTTGGGGTAAGATATTCCATAAAAGTTGGTATAACACTGTCTCCCTTTTTAATCAGAAAAAGAAGCACAAATCTTTAAAATGAAAAAACAAAGCTGAAAACAACACTTAAAATAGATGATGAAATATCACCAGTAATGTGACAAATAAATATCATATTCTTTGAAATCCCAGTTTCTCTTGATCCTAACTTTTGCTTCTACCCTTTTCCTACAGTAGCATGTCTGAACCTAAGAATAGGACCTCAAAAATTAATCATCTGAGCCTCTCTAGAAACTGTTCTGTGTGCAATCACCACCCAGTCTTGCGCCTCTGGAATGTATAGTTCTCCTACTCAGAAATACTCTTCATTAGGAGACAGCTTTATAAAGAGCACAAATCTATGTTGGGAAGAGACCAATTTTGTCTATGATAATCAGAAAGGGACTGAATTAGAATCATGCTAGCTGTTTGAAAAAAATAGAATCAAAATTTCATGACTCAACGAGACAGAAGTTTATTTCTTTCTCAAGAAATAGTCCAGCATAGGTATTCATGCTGCAGACTTCTAGGGACACAATTTCATCTGCTGTTGGCTGCTGTCATGAAGAGCAATATGGAGGGTCAAGAAGGTTTTCATGAGACAGGCACCATTCCAACTCTCATTCCACTTGGAAAAAGCTTAGTTGTTTGGCCACTCCTAAGACAAGAGAGTCTAACAAATGTGCAGCAAAGGAAAAGGAGAACTGATTTGGGAGTACACCTGGCCGTCTCACAAATATGGGCCTTTGCTCCAGTTCCGGAAGCTATAAAGGACAGTATTTGAAATTGATGCTTTACAAAATAAAATAAAATGCTTTGATTTCTGAAAGTGGCCACATCCACATTCTGTATACTTGAGTATAGGTGTTGAAATACAATGAACGACAATGTCTCTTGTATGTTCTGCTTCGACCTTAAGAAACTCCTTATAAGAGAGAGTTTGAATTCCTTTCTTTCTTTTTAAGGATTCATTTACTTCTTTGAAAGTCAGAGTTACAGAGAGAGAGAGGGAGAGACAAAGGGAAATGGCCACAAGGGCCAGCATTGGGCCAGGCTAAAGCCAGGAGTCAGGAACTTCTCCCAGGTCTCCCATCTGGGTACCAGGGGCCCAAGCATTTGAACCATCTCCTGCTGTTTTTCCCAGGCCATTAGCAGGGAGTTAGATGGGAAATGGAGCAACCAGATCATAAAGTGGCCAACACATGGGATGCTGGCACGCATGTGGCAGTAATACCTTCTGCACCATAGCACCAGCTCCAACAATTTTATTTGCAATGTACATCTTCAAAGGAACAGGATAAATTCATTCCTTCTGGATTCTTCTTTAGGAGTTACATGGCTTTTTGTAGCAATGACAGGTTTGTGTTGGTAAAGGCTCTTATTTGCTTGAGAACTCTTTTTACTACTAAAAAAATAAAGTGCAATTGGCATTTATATAAAATTAAAAAAATCAAATAAAGCAGAAAGTTATTAAAGCATAAACTTTATGCTTTAAACATCTTATATGAACCAATAAACACTATCTTGACAAATGTTAATGAAGAGTAAATACTGACTGAACGAATTCTAAATTTTCTATAATTGACAATTAAAAACCTCAGAATATATCAATTGTTCCAGATTGTTTTTACCATTTATATCCATTTTTATAAAGTATGAACTCAGAGCCATTTATGATGCAAACTTATATAAATTCTTTTCAAATTCATTTGCTTTTTTCCTATCTTTACCAGTCACATCCACAACAAATCTTCAACAAAAACTTTACTACCTCTCTCTTACCATTTTAAAAGTAGTCAAGTTTTATTTCATAGAAACAGCAACATTTTATTCTTGTAGACTTATTTCTTGTGGTCATGAGATGTTTAATCAAGTTTTTAATTAAAATAAAGCCAAAAAAGATTTGGGAACATATTGCTGCTGAGCATACAGTTCAACTGTCGAACTATTGTGTTGTATGCTGTGGTTAGTCAATAAGCTATGGATATCGATCAGTTTGTTCTACAGAGAAAATGAGGAGTTTCAATTAATCTAGACAGTCAGTTCAGTGTAGGTCACTTTTACGTAATAACTCATGTGCTTTGGCTTCTAACGAACAATACAATCTGCATAAATGCCTTCCTTCTAAATGTAGGTTTTATTATGTAACACTGAATATGAGAAATATTTTCCCTTCAGATAGGAAAAAATCACTTTTTTTTAGAAATTTACTTTAAAAATTATTTTTATTTTATTTTGGGAGGGAGAGAGAGCGAAAGACTGAGAGGGAGGTAGAGACAGATAAAGGGGAGGGGGTAGAGAGAGAGAGACTTTCCGGCTACTGATTTGCTCCCCAAATCCCTACTGCCCACAGAAGCCATAACCAGGCTGGCTAAAGTCAACAGCATGGAATTCAGTCTGGTTCTCCCATGTGGGTGGCAAGGAGACCCAGAGTACACATTAATTGGAAGCTAAATTGAAGCCCAACATTCTAGTACAGGATTCAGACATCCCAAGGAGTCTCTTAACTGCTGTGAAAAATGCCCAACTTTTATGGAAATTTAGTGGTAACTTCCTGATTTGTACAATTCTTTGGTACTTTGTATACATTTAAAAATATATCTACAATGGTAGATTGGCATATTTTCTATTTAATCATTGACTCCTCACTATTACTTTGATTACATTTTAACTGGTGATTTCAAATTATCAAATTCATGGAATGAACCATCATTATAGACTTCATCAGTTACTTTCCAACTCATGGTTCCATTAATTTTTCTTGTTTTTTTCTCAGTATTTCTGAATTCTAGTGGAAAACGTTCTTTGTGCTTGCTAAAGTCTATGCTTGATTATGCTATTTTTTAAAAGACTTATTTGTTTTATTTGAAAGTTAGAGTTACATTAAGGGGGGCATGGAAGGAGAGACAGCAGAGAGAGATATCTTCCATCTTCTGTTTCATCCCCCACATGGTTACAAAACCAAGAGCTGTGCCAGACCAAAGCCAGGAGCCAGGAGACTCTTCTGGGTCTACCACATGGGTGAAGGATCTCAAGTACTTGGGCCATTCTCTGCTGCTTTCCCAGGCCCATTAGCATGGAGCTGAATCAAAAGTGGAGCATCCGAGAATGAAACCCAGGGCCCATAAGAGACTTCAGTGTCAAAGGCAGCAGCTTACTCCCACTATGCCACAGCACCAGCCCCATGAATCTGCTCTTTTTAAAGATGTTTAGTAAAACAAATACATACAACACACACCATTGCTTTACTATTTTCTAATTATATAATAATTATATAATAATATATCAAATAATAAAATTTAATAAATAAAAATTAAATAATAATTGAATAATAATATATTATATAATAATTATATAATAATTTTCTAATTATATACATAATTATCCCTTAAATCACTCATTTCAGAATACTGAAACATTCTTCACCAGCATGTAAATAAAGTTTCTAGTATTCCTTCTGAAAATACTAGAAAGAGGAGCCACTAATTAAAATTCAAAATGTACTCAATGATCTAGATACTAGTTAGTCTCTAGAAATTCCCCTTTTATCCTAAGTGTATGTTTTTCAGTGTTGGAAATTTTCCATATTAAAATTTTCTTCTAAACTTATTGGGCCTTAATCATGATTTCTCTGCTCTCAAAATTCTCCTACAATTTATGTGTTTGCTTTACTTATGTTATGCCCTTGAAAATTCCGCCTTTGGAATTAGATGTATTTGCCCACTGCTATGATCCTGGGGAAGTCAAGTGTCCTGCTTTTACACTTGATCTTAACCAAAAGGCCAAGAAGCCATAAGTGTCCTGCTTTTACATACATCTCCCTCACAGTACCAAAAACAGCATCTGATATAAGTGGATGAACATACTTCCTTAAGTGTGCTATTGGTAATTCGTTCAATTTTTCTTCTTTCACTATATATTATTTTTCTGGTTTTACTATATCTTTCTGTATGTGTATGTGTGTATCTAGAATACATAATGTATAAAATATGCAGATATAATTTTACTCTCTACATATACAAAAGAAGAAAAAAATGCCATTAAATTACAGAACATTTTAAAATAAATATTTTTAAAATTGAATAGTTTAATTGCACAATTCAGCCTTGTCATTTGTTATATTCTCAAATCATTTGGAATTAAAAAAAACTTTAAGATATTAACATCTAATCCAGTGGAGTTGATGTGCACTTATAGTAATTATAGCTAAGATGTATCAGTGGGAAGATGAAATTTTCCCCCTCAAAAGAGCTCAAGGCAATCTTGAAATCATGTATTTCAAGGTAATGCCTTGAGTGTTTCCTTTCTACTTAGAATGGCTATTTATAGTTGGTTCAATTAATTCCTAGAGTGTGCAGGGCAAAGAATCCCTTTATCCTCTCATCCTATAGAGCTAAGGGTATGGTCTGTGCTGAGCTGGAGCAAACTTTAAAGCTGATCAAACTTCTAAGCAAAATCCTATATTATGATTAGTGATGGACCCAATCCTGTGAAGTGAATAGAGGTGAAGGAATTACAAAAGGTTCCAAGGTTGGAGTTGGATGAAAGAATCCAAAGGCTGAGCTGTGTATCTAAGGCTTATCTCAGCCCCCTTGGTGGCTGGAATTGGGTCTGAAATCTTGTTAGGACACACCTTCTCAGGAGATTTTATGCCTTTTTTTTTTTTTTTTTCATTTTAGGCAGGTCAGATGAGCTAAAGGAGCAGTTTGCTTGTTCAAAAGCACCAAGGGAAATATGACTGAAATTGCAGACACAACCCCCAGGATTGAAGAGTAGGGCTCAGATGCCAGGATCACTTCAAAGCCCCTAGGACTATCTGGACCTAATTATTAGCAGATAGCAATATATAAAAATCATTTTGTAAGCTGTGAAGTCAGTTATATGAAATTATTACAGAGAAAGCTACAGAAAGTTGTCAGTGATCAGATGAATTTCACTTATATAGAACAGTAAAAGACAATAAAAGAGATGAAAATAATTTTGAGTGATTTGGTTTCAGAGTAAAATACAAATGACTGATTCACATATTTGTATTTCTAAATGTCTTTGAAAATGATAGCATCAAGCATCTATTTTAGCAGGCATAGGAGATGGTTTCTCCTGAATTCAGAAGCCTTGGGGTTTTTTCAGTTACATTTGGTAGGCTCTGCTAGGTAAGCAAAAGAGATGAGATGTTTTGTATTCATTGTTATCATTTCTCTGCAATTATCAACTAAGTGAAATTTTGTGGGCTTTAAAAAATTTATGAATGGTTTACATACAATTTAGGAAGGATTATTTTTTATATGGAAGACATCTAAAATTATGGGGTCAATTGTAAGTCACTTGGGGCAGATATATAGCCTAAAATATTAATTAAAAGGCATAATTATCCCTGAAAGTTGAGAGTTTTATCAATTCCACTGTCCACTGTCTAATTTTCAAATCAACAATTTTTCCTTCAGTAACAAATTTGCTAAAAACTTTGCTAAGTGCTTCAGGGAATACAAAAGTGACCAAGAAAGAAATCCTGAACCAAGAATATTAGAAGCCATTTAGCAAGTGAATTAACAAATATTTATTAAGATTATACTTTACAAAAGAGACCCACATGAGTTAGCAAGGCAATGTTGAACAAAATGGAGAAGATACCTACTCTTAGGAAACTACTTTCTGAGAAGAACATAAATAAGTTCTTTTTTTTTAGGTGCATTATTTTTTAACTTATAATATTTATTTATTTTAAAAGCAGATAAACACAGAGAAAAAGACAGAGAGAGGGAGACAGATATTCCATCTGCTAGTTCACTACCCAAATGGTTGCAACAACTGGGGCTGAGCCAGGCCAAAGACACAAGCCAGGAACTTGGGACTCTATCTGGGTTCCTCATGTGGGTAGCAGGGGCCCAAGTGTTTGGACCAACATTCACTGGTGCATTAGCAGGGAGCTGTTTGGGAAGTGGAGTAAGTGGGACTTGAACCAACATTCATTTGGGATGCCAATGTCACAGCTTAAACCACTCCACCAAAATGCTGGCCTCCCATAAATAGCTTATTACAAGAAAGACCATCATATGAGACGATACTTTAAAGAGGTTGTGGAAAAGTGGAGTGGAAGTTTGGCATAGCAGTTAAGATGCCCCTTGGGATATCTGTATTCCTGCTCTCGAAGGCCTGGGTGAAATCCAGGTTCCACTTCTGCTTCCTGCTTCCTGTTTTCTGCTAATGCACATTGAGTGACATCAGGTGATGATTCAAGTACTTGGGTCCCTGGCACCTATGTTGGAGACATAGCTTGAGTTCCAAGTTCCTGACTTTGGATTGAGACAGTCTTAGCTGGTGTGAGTATTTGGAAAGTAAACTAGTAGATGATGGAGATCTCTCTCTCTCTCTATCTCTCCCCACCCCCATCTTTCAAATAAAGTGAAAATAAATAAATATTTTTTATAATGTTTGTAAAAATTAAGTTAGCTGAGAGCTTAATCTAACAGTTAAAACACTGGTGATTGAGACTATTTTATAGTTCAAGAATTGTTTGGAGTCTTGTCCTTAGAAGAGTTTCAATACTTGAATCTCCTTTGGATCATAAAGTGTGTATACCTTGCATATATGATGCTTAGTAGAGTGTTTTCCAACTATACCCTCAGTATAAACCAGCACTATGTAAACACTACGTTCATTTTCCAGTTAATGTACATAACTTTCTAAAGTAGATTTTTTTTATTATCATGCCCATTTTTCAATGAAACAAGTTTCCTCTCATTCAGAGAGTTTGATCAATATTTACATGCTTAAACACAATGTGGTATTGTCATCTTCCAAACAGAAAGAGAAAAATAGTCCACTATACCACCACGGTTTTAATGAAGGAATGCTCCAAATGCAAGAAGTAATAGATATGTTTTAATTCATATTAACATATACTGTAAATAAGGAGTGTGCATTACATAGATGTTTTTCTTTCACAAAATATATATATGATTATGATGATATCTATGTTTTTGTAATCATAAAATGCTCTGGATTATTTTACAAGTTTCTTTTCATAAGGAATACCTGTTAATGTATAAAAATACACAAGAACAGCAAGAAAAATCATGCAAACCCACCCAACAGTAGAAGCTGCTGTGGATAGTTTTGTGTACATACCTAGAGATAGAGTTACAAGTGACATGCACACTTAAAAATATAAATGTGATATTCATAAAAGCAGAAGCAAACCATTACACTGTTTTTCAGCCTTCCATTCACATTATTTTACGGATCATGAGACTCTTTAGCAATAAATTTGCTTTCACAGAAGAGAACTATGTTTCTAAAGACTATGTAGGATATGTGTGGATCTTCTAGAATGTATCTTATCCTTTCCTTGAGCATTTAGATTTAATGCTTGATTGAACCTGCTCTTAATGGAATCTTTGTGCACATTCTAAATTATTTCATTAATGTGAGTTCCTACAAGTGGAACAGCTAAGTTGTGTGGTTCACTAAATTTTAGGGCTTTTAATAAGTATTGCCAAACTGCCCTCTAGGAAGGCAGTATTCTTTATATAACAGAATATTTTGTAGTTTATTAATAATGGTTCATTACCTTAAATAAAGACATTTAATGTGTTAATTTAGTCTAAAATCCTTAAGGAGCAAAAATAATGGCAGATAACCATTACATTGTAAAAATTTTTCTTTTGCTATGGCACCATTGCTGCTTCATGAACATTTACCTCTGAAGTCACAAATGTGTACAGGAGAGTTTGCTATTATCTCAAAGATATATAAAAAATAGAATATGTTTCATTGTAAACATTTACCATATCATATTCTAAAATTTGCATTTTGGCTAATCAGAACAAATTTCAGTATTTTAATGAAGAAATTAGCATACTTTTTTATCAACATGAAATAAAAAACTCTTTCCAATCCTTTTTATGTGAAAGTAGATGTCTTGGATGTGCTATTTAGTTTCCTGGAGGGAACAACATCTTCAAATAAGTGGGAATCATTTTTCAGCAAAGAGCTGCTTCCAAGTTGGTTAAAACTGGTTCAACATTCGATGTTAATCCAATGTTAAATGAAAGTGAGAAAAAACTATGCTTTCCTGGATAATGTACATACAATAGATTGAATATTGTTATTCAGATGTAAAATTCACATCCTTTTAATGTGTACTGAAAGCAAACACATTTTAGGAGACAAAAAAAGAATGTCACAAAATGTAAATTTTATGTTAGATTATTATGAAGAAATTTCTTATATTTGTTATATCTATGCATGAGAAAGCAAACTTAAGTTCATGGTCACATCTATTTTCAAAAACACGGATACAAGTGTTTGCAATGTTTCAGAACCATCAAGTTTTCACATATTACAACCCCTTGTTTTAGTCAACTAACAGAAACTAAACTGAAATGACATTCATATTGATTTAAGAATCAATGGAGACTCAATGAGGTAGTTTCTGATTACTAGTTTCAAAAACTAATTCATTGTAAGTATGCATATCTAGTTTTTAAAATAACATCCAAATTTTTATATTTGATGTAAAAAACTATAACGAAGGAGAGACATGGGAAAGTGAGCATAACAAATAATTTTTATTACAATGGTAATCAATTTTCTCGTCAATACTTTAATAAAAACAGTAAGGAAGTCAGATGCAAAAAAAGCTATAAAAATGTTCACAATATCATTAATATTCTCTCAGAACTGGCAAAGCTGCCACCATTCATTTAAACTTTGCATGTGCTCTGATAACGCTTTGCATCCCGAAAATAGATCATACCTTGGCGAGGCAATAGACTTAACTTTGCATTCCTGCTCTAAGTACCAAATTCTGTAAGTTAGCAATGGATATAATAAATCTGGTCTGGGTTATGCTATGTATAAAATCCAAACTCAACTTTTTGGTGTTTTTTGCATAACTCGTTTGTTTTCCCTTCCTGATACAAATTCAAAGTGGGTCAGCAAAATATCTGCTTTATATCTCAATCTAATATTCGGTATTTATCAAAGACTAAAAGTGAGGTCTAAAGAGCTGGTGGTATTCAGATTCAACAGCTTAGCAAAGATGTTTTATAGAGGGTGCTGTGTAATCCATATATTAGTCTATTCGGAAGCTCATCTGGTCACTGTAATTTGGTGATGTATCAGTGGGATCAGTGGAGAGAGCTGGACCTTTCTGTTTTTTCAAAATCCACTGATGATTGTGATCTGTATGATCTCAGAATGACTTGATCTTTCCAACTCTATTCTATAGTTATTCACTCAAAGGCTTTCTAAAGAAAGATTTCTTATCAGCTAGGGTTCTTTAATTACCTGTTAAGCAATTCTTTCCCCCTTATTAATAGTGTTCAAAGGGAAAACTTGATGTCTTAGTTACCTCTAATATTTGCATGTATATATTGATCCATGTGTGTATGGATTATGTTTTTGTACTCTGGAGAAGAGCATCAGAAGAGAGAGAAAGGGAACATGAGTGCAGGGGTAAACAGGTTATTTATGCAATATTTTGTTTATTGTTATATTTCCTCTTAGTGTTGAGTTTTAGGATTGTACTTTTAAAAATTTTTTGAAATGTTTCGAAGTTTTTATGTATTTAAGTAAGCTTTCTGTAGACCAAAAATTAATCATCAAAATGCTATATACCTTTGATAATTAATTTTGAATCAAGTTATGTTTAAGTTAGCCATTAAGAATAAGTTGCCAATTTAAAAAGAAAAGGCTCATGGAACTCCATTTGTTCTGCTGGGTTGGTTTGGGAACCTCATTTTCTGGGACAAAAGTGCTAGTTCTGTGTTTTAGTGGGTATGTTAAACATGTCGGATGTGAAGCTTGTAAATCGTGTGTGTGTGTGTGTGTGTGTGTGTGTCATTTGAAACAACATTTTGGATTACAATTTGGCTTCCATTAGGTGAACTGACAATAACTCCTATTTTGCTAAATGTTTCTCTATTTGAAAATGGGATACTCAGATTCTATTTAGCCAAAGATACTCACTAGAATTATTCTAGGGCAAACAGAGATTTAAAACATGAATCCCACTGCTGAAGTATCACAGCAGTTTGGATTCCAAATGAAGTAAAGTCAAGCTTTAACTCATTTACTTAATGACTAAATAATTGATAGAATTTAGAAAAATAGATGCAAGTGCAATATTTATTATTGATTCATAAATTATGCCTGCCAACTGAGATAGTCTCAAATTAAAAGCAGCAGCCATAGGTTATTAATAGTTATTTTTCCTCATCTATCCATCTGCTTGGGTAGCTTAATTTTTATCCAGATACTATGACCTCTGTATTAATGGGGATGAGAGAAGCCTGTCGATTTTCTCTCACCAATGCCCACTGCATTCCAGAGCCATTCAAAATACAGGCTAACTCTTGCAGCACAGTTGGATACCAAACAGAAGTTTCAAGTAAATAGGAACCCATTTTTGATAAATAAATACTTAACATGATGAAGGCCAAAGCATATTATTTGAATGGAAGTGCATAGAATGATATGTACTTTTGTCAAGGAGACTCAATCTTTAAAATTATTTACCTTACAGCATTTATGGTATCTTTATTTTCAGTAAGCTATTTATGTTTCCTGAAAGTTATAAAAAATCTCAAATTTTCTGCTGCTTATTTGATAGGCTGTTTATACATCAATTTAAAATTTAATACATCTCTAAAACCATTAAAGAATGCATAACAGAGGATGTTAATAGATGCATCATCTATTGTATGTGTCCCGATATAAGCCACAGCATGACAATGGATAATAGGAACAGGGCTGCCAACTAACACAGAGTGTAGCCTATGGGTTGTCTAAGAATGCCTCTACCAGCCAGCCACATCTTACAACTTAGAGCTTGCATTTCTTGCAAGACTTTAACAATCCTATAAAACATCTGTCTATAAATTTGACAACTACATTATTCACTATTCAATAGTTCATTTGTATATTTTGTATTGTATCAAGCGACAAATTTAAGGCAAAATATAAACATTTTGAAATATAGAGATAATTTTTCTAAAAGCAAAAAACTTAAAAACAACTTTATCCATATCTATTTTTTTTCATGAAACTTAAAATCTCAATAGCATTATATACATTTTCCACATACATAGCATTGGTATCAAATATTACCTAGAATTTGGACTACAAAAAGGCTTTCAGGCTTTCAGAACTAAATTATTCATTGGTATAGTGGTAACCATAAAGTAAAAACTATTTTTTTTTTGACAGGCAGAGTGGACAGTGAGAGAGAGAGAGACAGAGAGAGACAGAGAGAAAGGTCTTCCTTTGTCGTTGGTTCACCCTCCAATGGCCGCCACGGCCAGCACACTGTGGCCGGCGCACCGCGCTGATCTGATGGCAGGAGCCAGGTACTTCTCCTGGTCTCCCATGCGAGTGCAGGGCCCAAGGACTTGGGCCATCCTCCACTGCACTCCCTGGCCACAGCAGAGAGCTGGCCTGGAAGAGGGGCAACTGGGACAGAATCTGGCACCCTGACCGGGACTAGAACCCGGTGTGCTGGCACAGCAAGGCGGAGGATTAGCCTAGTGAGCTGCAGCGCCAGCCTAAAAACTATTTCTAACACATTCTCTACTGCTGCATTTTTATGGGAGCCCAAAATGCTTGTATTTATCTTAGTTATTAGCCTGTGTCTAGTAGATACATAATACTTAGTAAATTACCTGAAATATAATAAGCCTCATTTCACTGAAGTTTTAGTAGGTTTCTGTATATGCAACCCAAAGAGGGTTTTCTCATAAATTTATATTAAGTATCAAGTAAGTATGATTTAAATTTGTTTACTATATAAGATTTATTATATGAATGATATTTCCTTATCTATGACCCAGGCCCATTAATACAGGAGCCAAATTAGAAAGCCAAAGTGGTTACTTTCCAAATGTCAGTCTCAGTGAGAATTCAGAGAATAATATGTGTAGCTTCCACTAGCACTCCAATTCCAACCTATTTAGAGAAGACAAAAAGAAAGAGAAGAAGGAAGTGGAGGTCAGTATGTGCAGTAAATGATTGTGTTATACTCGTTAAATTCTAGAATGGGGGCCAGTGCTGTGGTACAGTGGGTTAAAGCCCTGGCCTGAAGTTCTGCCGGTTCTCGTCCCAGCAGCTCCTCTTCTGATCCAGCTCTCTGCTCTGGCCTAGGAAAGCAGTACAAGACAGCCCAAGTCCTTGGGCCCTTGCACCCACGTGGCAGGCCCGGCAGAAGCTCCTGGCTTCTGGCTTTGGAATGGTGCAGCTCCGGCAATTGTGGCCATCTAGGGAGTGAACCAGCAGATGGAAGACTTCTCTCTCTGTCTACCTCTCTCTGTAACTCTGTCTTTCAAATAAATAAATAAATCTTAAAAAAAAATTCTAGAATGGTAGTAAATGTTACACTTTATAGGTCAGAATTTGGAGTTTTAGGATGTATTTCATAGGAAGATTGCATCTGGAATCTTAAATAAGTTGGAAATGATGAGACAAAGAAAGTGAAAGGAAGAGCAAGGAAAAGAGGAAATGTCATAAAGAGAGAAATGAGCAGGAAGATGGGATGCATATTGCAACATAAAGCTGGAAAGAGAGAGTCAAAACACAATGGACTTGAATCCTAGCCTAATAATTTTGGACTTTATCCCAAAGGCCATAGGTAGCATAATCGAATGTCTAAGATTGCCAGGAACTTTCCTAATTAACACTTAGCATCCTGCCCAAATTTTTAACATGTCCTTTTTCTTTTTCAAAATTGTTGAAAACTAAGCGTTACAGCACAAAATTTGATAGTTCTATCAATATGAACAACTAAAGGAATTGGCTGGAAAATAGCATAATAAAGCTCTATATTAGAAATATCACTCTTGGGGTTGTGTAAAATAATAAACTAATGTGAGCTAGTCAAATCAAGCTTATGGTCTGTTTTTTAAAATAAAGTTTTATTAGAAAGTAGCCAGTCATGGTTTTTACTTACTATCTAAGACTCCTTTCATGAGTGAATGGTAAGCTTGTGTGGTTGTGATAGAGATCATGCTGTCTGCAAAGCTAAAAATCTTTACTATTTGGCATTTTACAGAAACAAAAATATATTTGCTACCTGCTAGTATAAAAGCAAAATGGAAGAAGTCTGACCAGAAGCAATGATATTGATTGAATCATAATGACTATTTAATAGGAGAACATATGACTTTTTCATGTCCAATATTATTTACATTTTTGTACTAAGTGGTAAATTTATTAAAAAGTACAAAATATTTTTAAAAGTTTATGAAAATGCACATTAAGAACAAATTTATTCATGGTTCTTAAAATTTTTTCACTTTTTTTTTTGCATCTTCAATTCCATTTCCATATGAACTTTCTAAAGTACACCAGGAACTTTGACAAAAGTCCACAAAGTTTTTGAAAATATTAAGTCTTGAATATAGAAGGAATTTATTTTGAGACTTTTGTTCCAAAGATCTTTGCCTAGTAAAAAAAAAAAAAACATAATTTCTATTAAAAGTCCAAACCAAGTAAACTTTAAATATGAAAGTACTTTATATGTAAGGTTATCCCAAATAAGTATAAACTATGAATCCTGAAAATTGTCCCAATAAAATAAATCACAAGATCAGTAAATAAGAACACCAATCTGAATTTTATTCTTGAGAAGAAAAGCATGTGACTATCTGACCTGTTTTTATTGCTCGGAACCAAAGTACCAAAACATAATATATCTTGCTTTTAAATAACTTACAAAGTAAATATTTTGGGCATGAATTGACGATGAACTTCAGTATGAGTGAGGCATATCTCCCAATTTCTCCCATATGCATGACAACACTAATCAACAAGAAATGTGTTCTGTTTGAATATGTGTAGTAAGATTATGAAACCAGAGAAAGCTAAGCAGCAGTCCCTTTTCACATTTTTGAAGACCCTGTACAGATAATAATGCACTGAGACTGTGATTCAGTTTTAGCTTCACCAAGTACAGTATATACTGGAAAAGGTACTTTTTATCAAGAGATAACAATATTATTTATAGACAAAATAACTGAGTTTCATGAGGATGGTATGATTTTTCAACAAGTCCACATAACATGAGAAATTCCATGAGCAAGGCTTTCGTAATAAAAGGAACCTGCTTATTTTTTTTTCCACTGAGCAAAGAACTTCAGCTATTTTATTTATTCTCCTTACCTTGTAATATATGGTAGAATTCAAGGGTCCTACATCTGGAAATAGAAAAAAAATATTTGAATTAGAGTGAAATTATTCTTGTCAATTATGATTGTAAGCAATAAACTATAATAACATTAGCAGTACCTGTGATATTCATATCAAAATGAACATCAACTATTATATCACATTACAGTTTGTTGGACTCTAAGAATCATCTGTATTTATCATGACTTTGAAATTGTTATTGGTTTTAGAATTATTACCATATGTTGTTTAATGCATAAATAAAGATATACATATATTCCTACTTTAAGAAATGTTTAACATTTTGGTAATAGTATAGCAATATTTTTTCTGTGTTGTTATATATTGTGATTTTAAATGAAAAAAAGCATTATTCTGACAGCAGAATGATCAGACTAGGAGTCACTAGATTTCCAGAGGGGACCATGGTATAAAATCCATGAGAAACAAAATCAAACTTCTTTCAGTCAATAATACCAGTGTTGCTGTATAATGAATCACTGAAGAATTTAATACCTTAAGGCAACAGGAGTCATTTTATTATTCTTTATTGTGATTCTATGGCTTGGGATCTATTGGGCAGTACTTTATAGAGTTTGTCATATTGTAGCAACCATATGTTAGCTGGAGCTAAAGTCATCTTAAAGTCTTTCCCGCTCTCAGACCTGGCAGTTGACACTGGCAGTTGGCTGAGACTTCTGCTGGGTATGTTGGCAGTTACACTACATGTGCCTGCTTGGCTTTCTTACCTCATGGTAGCTGGTTCCAAGAGTAAGCATCCCATGAGAGTCAGGCAAAAGCCCTATCACTCTTTAGGACCTAACCTGAGAAGTCAAACATCATTTCTTCCATAGTCACAGCCTTGCCCACATACAAGGAGAAATAACACAGATCCTGACTTTCAGTAAGACAAGTGACAATGTCATGTAGTAACAACATATGGGGTAAGATATGTTTGAGTGGCATCCTTTTGAAAATGCAGTCCATCAGAATGTTCCAAGATTTGCCTTGCTTTTGAGTCTTTTCACATAATGTACCTTCTGCCCTGTATCCCCTGCTTATTTATTGAGTATTGTATTTCAGTATTTCCTTCAAATCCAAAGTAAAATAGAAATTCTACTACAAACTACAAACCTTCTCAGAACATCTCTCCCAACACACTCATGAATTTAGTAAATTTCTCTGGGGATTATGTATCTGTATGCTGCTATTTTATTTTAAACTTACCTGTTTCTGTGCGCTTACTTGATACATTCTAGTATTAACTGTTTATAGATCTCCCTTGTGATTGAATACCTTGATAGGGTGAGAGAATTCCCTTTGTGTCCCCTACAGGAGTAGTTTCACATTAATGCTCAACTAATGACTGCGAGATGAATGACTTTTTTTTTTTTTCAAATTCATTCTGCTGCTTGTTGGAACAAATCAGTCACCGTGATTCTATAAGCTGTGTGGTTCTGTATTGATAGCTGCTCTGACACATTTTGAAAGTTTCCAAGCATACCAACTGATTGCCTAAATAATCGCACTGGCATTTCAGGTCCTAACAAGTGAAAGAATTTTGTAACAAGTGTTAAGAGTTCTTTTTTCCCTTAAGATTGCAAACTTCTGCCATTCTAAAGCTTGACTTCGCTGTATTTGTCAAAATACCTTTTCAGCAGGAAGCTGATTTTCCAGCAATCATGACAGGAAGCTCCATGGAGCACAAGAGCAGATAAAATGATTGTTCAAGGCTGTGTACAAAAATAGTATTGAGAGCAACTAGAATGACAGTGCTATTATCGATGATATGTTTTTAAAACTGTCTCTGGTGGGTTCTGTGTAGTCATGGCATTGGAAACCTTCTAAAGAGTCAACAGACACTGTATCAAAAGATGTAAAGTTCACAGCCAGTCACGGAGGTGCGAGGTTCCATTTACCGCTTCCTTCCTTACACAGTTGAAAAATGAATTCAAGAAGACAAGCCTAGTTTAACATAAACAAATGTGTGCATAACATCATTCCTTACTCAAAATCAAAAGCAGACACACCACACAATGCTGCTGAGAATCTGATAAAATAATTCCCCTAAGACAGATCAAGGTGCTTCAATAAAGTAAAATGAAATACTGAGCCATGGATTAATGGAGCAAATATGTAAGATTATTTTCAATATTGCTCAAATTGTCTGACATCCTTACACAATGCCAAGTGACACGTTAGGAGGGACCAAAAAAATCATGAGATTGATTGCACATCCTGGTGAAGCAGGAAGAGCTAATCGTGAAGAGAATCAAACCTGTTTGCATTAATATTCAAGGGTAGTAAGCAGACTAATCTTTAATATGAAACTCTGATCATTACACAAAGTATTGTGCTTTTTGTTATTCTTATTGTTAATCTGCATTAATTTTTAAGTATATGACAAACAAGAAGATGGTTCACTGAGAAGTTAAAATCTAGAGAGTTTGTAGCATCTATTCTAGCTAGTAACAAGAGCAGAAACGAGACCTCTGTTATGAAGTGATTCAGGTAAGGGTAAGCTATTTTATAAGGCTCCTACTTGGAAGTCGATTTGCAATACGCATCTACAGTTTAAATTGAAACCATAATGCAGGAGCCTGTTATAGCTGAACAGGTTATGCTGTCATGTATCCCATATCAGAGTGAAGATTCCTGTCCTGCCTACTCCACATCCTGTCCAGCTTCCTGTTAATGTACACCCTGAGTTGAGGGCAGAATGTAAATCACTAAGTACTTAGACCCTTGCCACCCACACTGGACACCCCAAGGAAGTTCCAGATTCCTGACTTGAGCCTGTCTCAGTCCTGCCCATTGTAACCATTTGTAGCATGAAACAGCAGATGGAAGATCCTCACCACACACACACACACACACACACACACACAAACACTTCCTTTCAAATACATAAAATAAATCTTAAAAAAAAAAATGTTGCCTTTCCAAATTAAGAAAATCATCTCATAAAATTGAAATATGTTGGGGCCAGTGCTGTGGAATAGTGGGTAAAGCCACAGCCTGCAGTGCCAGCATCCTATATGGGCGCCGGTTTGAGTTCTGGCTGCTCCACTTCTGATCCAACTCTCTGCTATGGCCTGGGAAAGCAGTGGAAGATAGCCCAAGTCCTTGCAAGACCCAGCAGGCAAGACCCAGCAGAAGCTCCTGGCTTCTGGCTTCACATCGGCACAGCTCTGGCCATTGCGGCCAACTAGGGAGTGAATCAGTGGATGAAAGACCTTTCTCTCTCTCTCTCTCTCTCTCTCTCTCTCTCTCTCTCTCTGCCTCTGCCTCTCTATAGCTCTGCCTTTCAAGTAAATAAATAAATAAATCTTAAAAAAATTGAAATATGTGACGAATCTTGGAAAGAAGGCTGGATTTAAATTCACCAGCTCGGCTGGCACTGCGGCTCACTAGGCTAATCCTCTGCCTTGCGGCACCAGCACACTGGGTTCTAGTCCCGGTCGGGGCGCCGGATTCTGTCCTGGTTGCTCCTCTTCCAGGCCAGCTCTCTGCTGTGGCCAGGGAGTGCAGTGGAGGATGGCCCAAGTCCTTGGGCCCTGCACCCCATGGGAGACCAGGAGAAGCACCTGGCTCCTGCCATCTGATCAGCGCGGTGCGCCGGCCGCCGTGCGCCAGCCACGGCGGCCATTGAAGAGTGAACGAACGGCAAAGGAAGACCTTTCTCTCTGTCTCTCTCACTGGCCACTCTGCCTGTCAAAAAAAATTAATTAATTAATTAATTCACCAGCTATGAATAACAACAGATTGTTTGTGACGTATATGTGCTATACCACTATCCTACAGGAAATGCCAGCATGTGTAGCACCACTTATTTAATTCTTCAGAGAGAGGATCTTACTAACAGTGTTCATTCATCATGAAAAGATGATCACAACATGCTGTTGCATGTGATTACTTGTGAATTTTGTTTGGGAATTTTTAAATCTTGGCCCAATATTCCAAAAGTTCATGAAGCATGCAACATATTTATTAGAAGTCTGTAATTCAAAGTGAGACTTCAATAAATGTAAAAATGTTAGAAGGATTTGGCATTGAAATCTCCCTCCAGCTATGCATGGAATGAATATGAGACAGAGGTAGACAAAAATGACATTAACTAGAATGTGAACCAACACTATTACCTTAATTGTTGAATGCATGTGATATAGCAAACCAGTATTGAATCAATGTATATTTGTTTATTTATTTTTTGAAAGAGTTACAGAAAGACACACACACACTCACACACACACGCACACACACACACCAGAGAGAGAGAGAGAGAGAGAGAGAGAGAAATTCTTCCATCTATTTGTTCACTCCCCAAGGCTAGGCCATACTGAAGCCAGAAGCCAGGAGATTCATCCAGGTCCCTCATGTGAGTGGCAGGACCCAAATACCTGGGCTATCTTCTATCCTTTTCCCAGGCCATTAGCAGAGAGCTAGATCAGGAGTGGCGAAGCCAAGATAGGACTAGCACTCATATGGGTTGCCGGCAAAGGTGTTACCCACTGATCCACAACCTTTGTCACATGAATCAATGTCATGAAAGCAAGAAAGACATTCAGAATTTTTGGTGAAAGAAAAAAAATAAACAAGATTTTTTGATGTGCTCCCAAAATAAATTAATTGGATTTATAAATACATACTACACACAAATACAAACACACACACACACATTTCAAAATGTTTGTGGAGAGTAGAATTAGGAAGTTTATTTTGTTAAAAAAATTTGAAATCCATTCTTTTTTTTCATAATATGTATTTTCCAAAAAAATCTTAAAGCCTTGTGTGTGTATATGTATATGTACATTTTTTGAAAATCAACTCTACTTGATGGTTCTTGTTTCTCCAAATTGTGATATATCCTTATTGCTTGAAATAATCACTTTTTTAAAAAAGCATTTATTTATTTATTTGAGAGGCAGAGTTACAGACAGAGAGAGGGAGAGGCAGAGAAAGGTCTTCATTTCCACTGGGTCATTTCTCAAATGACCACAATGACAGGAGCTGGGCAGATCTGAAGTCA